CCACCTCTAACTATGGATACTGATGCCTAAAAAAACCTGTCTCTTTTTTATCCCATGTATACAATTATATAATCCAAAGGAAACTTGAGAGCGTATTATGGATAATGTCTCAAGCACACAGGCACTGGGGTAGAAATCCAGGCAAAGTGGGAGCCAGGCATGGTGTCACATGCACTCAGGAGGCAAAGGCAGGTAAATCTCTGTGAGATAGAGGCCAGCCTGGTCTACACAGTGAGTTCTAGGCCAATTGGGGATACAGGGAGACCCTGTCTCAAAAACAAAAAACACAAAAAAGCACAGTGCAACTTTAAAAGTCCCACAGCCTTCAAATAATTCTATCACTTAAAAGTTCAGTGTCTCTTTAAAATGATCGAAAGTCTCTTAACTGTGGGCACTTGTGTAATAAAAAAAATGTTACATCCTTTCAAAAAGGAATAACCGGGCAAACTTAAGCAAAACCAAAATTCAGCAATGTACCTCAGTATTCAGTGTCTGGGATCTACTCACAATCTTCTGGCCTCCAAAAGGTTCTCTGACTCTGCCATCCACCACATACACACACACGCACGCACGCACGCACACACATCCCACAACTTGTCTTACAGGCTCAGGCCAGCTCTGCTCTACACCCGCTGCTGTCCTTGGTGGTCATCCCATCATCCTGGTACTTCTGAAATGCCGGGGTCTCCCAATTCCCCATTTTCCCTACTACCTACCAGGTGATGTTCCCTGTTTTCCTGGGTGAGCAAATACCCCCTGATGTGCTGGCAGCCACACTGGCAGAATTGGATGCTAACCTGCAGTTGCTCGAGCACAAGTTTCTCCAGGACAAGGCTTTCCTTACTGGGTCCCACATCTCCCCTGCTGACCTGGTAGCCATTACAGAGCTGATACATGTGAGTGTTCTGGGAAGGGTGGGCCCACAAGATGTAGAGGGTTCCAAACCAGCTACTAAAGTCCCGTTTTTGCTGCTCCCACTAGTCTGTGCATTTGTGTGGAGACACCTTCGAGACCTAAGGGGCCTGTCCTTAGCTTCACTCATGCACTTCTATTCTGTCCCCTTCTTGCTATAGCCTGTAGGTGGTGGCTGCCAAGTCTTTGAAGGGCATCCCAAGCTGGCTGCATGGCGCCAGCGAGTGGAAGCAGCAGTGGGGGAGAACCTCTCCCGGGAGGCCCACCAGGTCATCCTGAAGGCTAAGGACTCTCCACCTGCCAACCCCATCATAAAGCAGAAACTGATGCCTGGAGTGCTGGCCATGATCCGATGAGTTCAGAAGTCTCACCCCTGCGCTGGTCATGTTTCTTCACGAAACACCTTCATTTTCAGTGTTCCCAGATGACAGTAGTGGTGCAGCCTTGCTTCCCAGCCCATGCCTCCCAGCTCAACTCTTCGTTAACAACTGTCAGAGAACCATGGCAACCACATCATGTCCAGACCAGTAATCATTGATTTTCACTTTAAGTTCAGGTTAAATAAACCTGGGATCAGCTGTGCTTAGCTTCTCTGTGTCGTTTATTTGAGCTTCCTCTATTCTAGCCCAGTCTTGTTCTCTTTCAAAAGACAATTCCCTTTCACAGGCTTTGAGGATTGGTTTCTTCCGGATGGTTGCCCAGAATGAAATCACAGCCCAGCATTGTAGCTCACACCTGTAATACAGCACCTGGAAGGCAGAGGCAAAAGGATCACTGAGAGGTGAAGGCTAACCTGTGCTACATATTGAGATCCCTACCAGCCTGGGATACAATGTGAGAGCCTGTCTCAAAAAAACCAAAACAATACAACAAAAGCAGAAAACAAACAGTGAAATCACAAACGCCCTGGAGCCTCTGGTTCTTAGAGACTGGGACCAGCAGACACCTCCAGGTGTTAGCTTCAGGCATAGTGATCCATCCAGCCTCTTGG